AAAGTAACATCATCGAACGTTCATAAAAAAAACTGGTTTATTTAAAGAGAACAAAACTGACGGCTGATCAATCCGGCACCATCTGGATGATTGTATGGGTATGGATACTACTGCGGCAACGGCTCTGCTGCGACACCTTGCAACGCACTTGGTAACGGGCGGTAGCTTGCGCCACCTAGCTTAAGTCTAAAAAGCGACGTATTTGCAAACGTGGTCGGTCACGCTCACGACTGATAGAAATACCAAGAACTCAAACGCGTCACGACAGCAACAGACCCCAAATCATTCGAATTTTAACACTGCAATGAAACCACGCGGAGCTCTCAGACGCAGACACGATGGAGCTTGTTTTTTCTGCGTCGACGAAACTCAGGAGCATCAATTTGGCGACCCGGTGCGCCACTACACAAACTGCACTGCTTTATAATCCGACTGAGAACTCTCGACGACAGAAGATGGCTCGTCGATGTTGGTGGGGCAAATAACACGTAGCACTGATGATTAAACGATGGAATCACAGACGTAGTCGGTCATGCTCGCATATTTGTTGATTGTCACCAAGCAACCACTTTCTTTGTACGCGGTGTTCGGATTCATCCGCCAAGCTCCTGACTTTTGCGGGTTATTTTAGTCAACAAGATTTTTTTTTCTGAAAAAAAAAAAAATGGGGGGGAGGGACAACTTGTAGTGAAGACGCGTGCGTCCGCATTGGTGACCCCGATCTGATATCAGCCTCCCGAAGCTGGTGGATCAAACGGTAGATAGCGTATCTCACTCGCTGTTGCAGGCTGCTCACCGCATCCGTGTAACCAGAGCGAACTGGAAACGACAACAACTACGCTGAGACTGCCGTGGTTACCTTTCACATTCCTGAAGATATCAACTGAACGTACCTTTCACAGTTTTTCTTGCGCTCTTGTGAGGGGTAACCACTGCGTCAACGCAACTATTGTTGTCGTTTCCAGGCGGCTCATTTCTTGATCGCCACGCCGGGAAGCTACGCGTCCACAGCGTGTGTGCAACGTATAATGGTCACTACACTCATTGTGGGACGATGCAATCGCAGACGTAGTCGGTCACGCCTGCCACCGGAACGCTGAGAACTTGATCAGGGGGCTTACGTACAGCACTGAAACGCCACAGCGCTCGAAACAACGCGAGCTGCTGACGCCATTTCATGACACAGACACATCGACGAAGCCCAATGTTGTCCTCATTTCATGGTGAGCGCAGCTAAGCATACTCGGTGCATGCTCCGATTATCCTTTCAGCGCACTTCCATAGTAAACTTTTCGTTCACTAAAAGAAACCTTAGAGAGGCAACTGATAAGTCACTGCACGAATACTTACAAGATCCTTCCAGCTTACTTCCATTACGTTCTTCTAGTGCACTAAAAGATACCCAGGGCAGGCTACTAGTAAGACGCTTCGCATGAACTTAAAAGCTACTTAGGTCTTAGCTAGTTTACTAAAAGTATACTATTAGAGTACTTACTTCAAGCATACTAAGAAAGGACACTAACAGTACAGGCCTACTTCTGGCTAGCATCCTTTAAGGACAATTTTAGTATACTTCTTGAGAATGAGTATCTTAAAAGACCGTAAAGTATACTTAAAGTAACCTAGTTTTCGCTAAGGGCTGCGAGAGAGATTCGAGCTGAATAAGTAAATTGAGGCAACAAAGGTGGACAAAGTTTTAAAGTTCTGTCAAAAATATTGGCTCACCAACGTCGCGCGTTTACGTAAAACAACAACAAAAAAAGGTTTTAGTTTTAGTTGCAGTATAAGCGCACACCAGCGCACTTAAAATATAAATAAAATTACTTGCATTACGCGGACGATCTGAAATCGGTGAACCATCGCTCTTAGCCTTCCGGAAACATTGGCTGCCACGGATAAAACGCTAGGCGTGCCCACGCCGCCGATCTGTACGTTCAGTATAAAACGGGGTCCGGAGAGCCGTTTGATTAAACCGGTGCCGTTTGCAACATGGTCACCGGTTTGAACAAACGTGCGACAACTTTGCCCAAACGAGTCGCCCATTTGTCCAGATGAGCGACCCATTTGCCCAGACGAGCGACTCGTTTGCCAAAGGAGTGACCTGTTTGTCCAAATAGGTGACCGTTATGGCTCATACGGGAGACCCCTTTGAGCCATACGGGCGACCCCTTTGACAATCTGGTGACCGGTATGGTTAAACTGTTACCGGTATGGACCCGTTTTTTTTCATATAGGTGCCAAATGGTTTTTTTCAGTAGGGTATAGGTTGATTTTGGAGTAGCCACAACTATTCTAAGAACACGAACCGCTTCACAACGGCAGCCACGAGCGAGAGTTCGATGGTTGGTAGAGCCCGCCGATACAGCCCAAAGATGGGGAACGGCAACCTCCCGGTTTGTCGTCTGCTAGCGGAGTTGGGTGCGTGCCCTCTCTCTCGTTTTACCCCGCCGAATCCGCTGAATTTTCCGGATGTATGGAGAGGGCGCTACTGTCGAACAAAATGGTGCCGCCCAGAGGGCGCTAAATAGAATGGTGTTATGAGCGCTAAAGATGTGTCTTGACACAATAAAGTAATCGGAAAAGTAACGATTACTTCTTTAAGTAATGTCCAATCACTTTTTCCGTCAAGTGATCAAGTATTCTAATCGAATACTTTTTCGCCAAGACTAATAGCAATTGTAATCGATTACATTTTTTTAGTGACGTGTAAAAGACTGCATTAGTGACAGTATTGTTGTCCTGTGGCGTATACAGTGCGCTACCAATCATCATCATGGTGTTTTTAGAAGACGTGAAGCCAGATTGAGGCCGAACGAACATGTGTGTCTCGTATGTTGACCGGGTCCCATGATGTAATAGTATGTATACTCCCTTCTTGAATTATTTTCCATTTTATTAAACATAGTTTCTCATATTTTAACAATTCAGAAGTAGGATGAGCTGCTCCTCATTCATACCTTACGGTGAGTGAGCGAGACTTTGCAATTCGTCAAATCAGTGGTGCGAGGCCTGACATCGGAACAAGATCCAGATATTGCAACAAGGCGAGTTGACCTCACTTTGATACCCGAGATCTTACTGACATGTGATCTGTGACCATGCAATGGGAAGCAAAAACAAAAATTGACTTAACAGGCGAGGTCAATGCAGGTGTGATAAAGATGATATGGCACGAGTGCTACGACGAAATCAAGATCTTAAGCACCTGTCATTGACACAGTTGAGTCGACCGACGTCTTTGGATATCTCCATGCGGGTAACTCCGGGTGCGTTAACTGCGATTTCCAAGTTCACCGCAAGTGATGGTGGCATCGCGGCAAAACGAGTTGATTACCGAGTTTATCCACATCACTGAGTTAGCAAGGTGGGACGAGGAAAAAAAGATAACCGGGGCCAATTTGAAGCTATCAGGACCGATGCGTCACTGGCTGGAATCCTTGGGCGAAGCTTGCAAGACGGGCGTCCTGGGAAGCCGCTTTTCGGGACGCTTATGTCGACCTACCGTTGAAAACGCAACAGTGCAGAATCATAGAACGCCGAGTGCAACACAAGGAAGAAGACCACGAAACCTATGTTTACGACAAAGAAAAGCTTTACAGTTGCCTGGGACTTAATTTAGAGGAGACGAAGGCGGAGATTATCACGGGACTAGCATTGAGCGAACTCAGCTATGCCATGCGAAATCGATCTCACCTTTCTATTAACGACCTTTTACGTGACATTAACAGCTACGAGCGTTTCCAGAAGAATCGCGACGCAAGATTCCTGTCGGACCGTACACAACAAGGAGAACGAGGCCACGGCAAACTTCGAAAGCCAAGTTGCCGTCATGAGCTGAGGATGACAATTCCAACCATGCCCAGAATAAGGGGCCGAAATGTTTCAATTGTCTGAAATTTGGACACATTGCATGAGACTGCCCGGATTCACAACGGGAGAAAATGTGCACTCGCTGTGGGGAGCGAGGACACTACAAATAACTGTCATGAGTGAAAAACAAATGCACCACAAGTGGTCAAGAATAAAGACCGGCAGAAAGTTTGTGGGTCGTCGCAAGTGCTCAAATTAGTGAACATTGATGGAGAACCAACAGCTGCTCTTCTGGACACCGGTGCGCACATCAGGCTGATCAAGACGAAACTTGCCGCCCACCTAGGCAAAAAAGTAGCAGCTCCTAGCCGATTAGAACAAGTATATGGCGTAAGCGGAACGTGCAAAACCTTAGGGGAGATCCAAGCCGACCTTGAAGTAGACAACAAATTTTTCAAAGCCTGTGAGGATGCAGGTGGTTCGAGACAACATTTTTACGGGCCCTGACATCATCGTGGGAACAGGCGTCATTGACACACCAAACGTTGTGCTACTTCAGAAAGAGGGAACGATTATGTTGCTAGATGAACGAGACCATTTCTCAAAGAAATCAAGGTTGTCCATGATGATGTGCGAGTTGCGTTGTCCACCATAGGGTCAAGCTTGAGAAAAACACTGTACAATGGGTCACACTTCTTTTACATTATGAAAAAAAAACAGTCATAATGCCTTATAGCTGGGGAGGACGAGATGGACTACCTCTGCGAGTTAAAAGACGGGGATACAGGTCTTCCTATCGTGAACGTCACCAACTCTGACATCATCCTCAAAAAGGGCCAGACAGTTTAGTGTGGAGATCTGGTTCAACTTCAGCATACCGATGAGCTAATGCTTTCACAACGTGTAATCCACTACGTTTTAGTGCGGGAAGGAGGGCCTGTCTGCAATCAACAGGGAAAAGAACAAGGTTGGACCGTTTGTGACTAAGGGACACTGAAGTAAATTCGGAAGACAAAATGAAGGAGTCATGTCCGCCTAGCTGGTTGGCACAAGACTGAGCGTTTATTCGTCGTCGTCGTCGTTGTGCCTTATTTTTCGGCGCGGCCGATCTTGATAGATCGGCGGTTTAGAGTAAAAGAAGAAAACAAAAACAACTTCGGTCAGCCGCGTGAACCGCAGCGCGTGCAGCGTCATTCGCTCCCCAACACTCCTTTCCCCCCGTAGAAGAGACGTGATGGCGAGCGACGACTTCGCGTTGATCGTCGCGGAGTTGGAGACACGGATGTTGGTACCGCCTCAGGTGGGACGGTCTCAAGAGCGGGGTCTGGCGCGGAAGCCGCCTCAGGTGGGACAGTCTCGGAAGCGGGTGCTGGCGCGGGAGGCTCAGTAGCTGCGTCACCGGGATCACGACGGCGAAGCTGGTCGGCGTGGCGCCGGTGGTCCTTGCCATCGCCTGGGGACTGAACTTGCACCAGGCGGGAACCAGTTGTTGCCTTTACGATTCCGGGGCTCCACTTGTCGCCAGGACCGTAGTTTCGGAACCACACTGGCTGACCTGGGCGAAAGGGACTAGCTTCCGATTGACTGCAAGGAGTGGGTAATGGAGGCAAGGCGGCGTCCAGACGTGAACGTATATCGTAGCCGAGTAAACGCTGAGATGGGGAACAACCGTCTTTGCCGGGTGTACGACGATACTCATGCAGAAATCGCGCTAATCGTGTCACCATACTGCCCCTGCTCAGCCGTTGGAGCCCTTCTTTTACAGTGCGGACGGCTCGCTCCGCGAGTCCGTTTGATTGGGGGAAATAGGGAGGCGAGAAAATGTGTCGGATATTGTTCCGCTCGCAAAATCGTTGGAACTCGGCGCTTACGAACTGGGGCCCATTATCGGAAACCACAGTCCGTGGTATTCCGAATCGGCTGAAGATAGAGCGTAACGCGGACGTGGTTGCTTCCCCTGACGTGCACTTGAGTGGAACTGCTTCAATCCACTTACTATGAGAGTCAACGAGAACTAACAACATGAACCCGTCTATTGGGCCGGCGAAGTCCACGTGCACTCTCGACCATTTCTCGTTCGTCTCCGGCCATGGCACAGGATCTCTGGCCGGTGGGGCTGGAGAAACTTGGGCACATTTCGTGCACTGACTGACCATACGCTCCAGATCTTGGTCAATTCCGGGGTACCATATAATGGACCGAGCTAACGCCTTCATGGCCGATGCGGCGCGGTGGCTTTCATGCAAGAGAGCAAGTACAGTCTTCCGAGCCCTTTGCGGTATTACGACTCGAGATCCCCAATATACCAGGCCGTGCGAGGTGGTTAGTTCGCTCCGCCTTTCCAGGAATGGCTTTAGGGTCATTTTCCCGTTATGACTCTTCTGAGGCCAGGACCCACTTTGAACCCACTTTTGGACCTGCCTTAAGTCATTGTCTTCAGCCGTCAGCCGCTGCAGGTCTGCCGTTGAAACGAAGTTTTCATCGAGCTGCTCCATCAGAAGAACATACTCCGACAGCTCCTCGGTTGATGATTCACCTTCCCTTGAGCACGGCAGCCGGCTGAGGGCATCTGCATTCAGGTTCTTAGTTCCTTTTCGGTACACCAGATCGAATGAATAAGCCCGCAGTAACAACGACCAACGCTGTATGCGAGCGGCGGCCATCGATGGGATTGGCCGATCCGGACGAAAAAGGCCAATCAACGGCTTGTGATCGGTGACCAACGTGAAATGGCGGCCCAGCAAGTACTGCCGAAACTTCGTTACTCCAAAAACGAGAGCTAAAGCCTCCCTTTCGAGATGAGCGTAATTACGCTCGGCTACGGATAGCGTACGTGAACGAAACCCGATCGGTCGATACTCGTTTCCAACCTTAATGGACAATACCGCCCCAATGCCATAAGGCGAGGCGTCACACTCCACTCTTAGAGGCTTGCTGGGGTCAAAGTGGGCAAGAAAATTTGCGTTTTTCAAAGCTGCTTTGCTACCTTCGAAAGCCTTGTCGGCGGCGCTAGACCACTGCCACTTTTGGCCTTTCACTAGCAGTGCATAAAGCGGAGCTAACAGGGTCGACATGTTCGGCAGGAACTTGCTGTAATACGTTATGAGACCGAGGTATGACCTCAGTTCCGAAACGTTCTGCGGTCTAGGGGCTTGCATGATTGCTTCCATGTTCTCTTCCTTGGGATGAAGACCTGCGGCATCTATTTTGTGACCCAGGTAATTGACCTCTTTCTGACGGAACTTACATTTGTCCCTGTTCAACCTGACCCCGTACTCCCGCAGCCTTTGTAGCACTTGCCGCAGCGTTGACTCGCCATGTTTCTCGGCTACCAGAACGTCGTCCAGGTAAACTTGTACTCCATGGAGATCTTTCAAAATAGACTCGATTCTGCGCTGGAAGACGGCCGGTGCGGATGCGATGCCGAATGGCAATCTATTGTAGCAAAACAACCCCTTGTGCGTGTTGATCACGGCCAACTGTCTCGCGTCTTCGTCAAGACAAAGCTGGTGATACGCGTTTTTCAAATCCAACGTGCTGAAGACCTCACCACCACAAAGAGATGCAAATATGTCTTCGATAACAGGCAATGGGTACTGTTCGGTATGGCATGCCGCATTTACCGTGAGCTTGAAATCCCCACAGATTCTGATGTCACCACCCTTTTTAACGACCGGCACTATCGGGGCAGCCCAAGCAGAATAGGGCACGGCAGATAACACGCCCTCGGCCACTAAGCGATCCAACTCATTGGATACCTTATCGCGTAGCGCGTAAGGTACAGGCCTTGCTCTCGCGAACCTGGGTTGCGCGTCTGGGCGTACGAGCAGACTCACCGGCGGGCCTTCCACGGTTCCAAGTCCAGGCTCAAACAGATCCGAGAACTCCTCGAGTAGCTTTTGAAGGTTCCGATCGTCCATTGGTGCTCCGGGTCCGGCGGCAGGAGTGGAAGTAGGCGTTCTAGCGCCTGAAAGACTAAGGACAGGAACTCCGCGAGCATTCATGTCAGTAATCAGGTCCCGGCCACACAAAGAAGGACCTGAACAGCCGAGCACAATAAGACTACCCTCTGTAGTCTTGTCCTGGTACTTCACGCGCATGTTCAGCTCGCCTAACACGGGCAATGTTCCAAGGAAACACGACAAACGAACAGACGTTTTCTGAAGTTTCGGCCACGAGTTTCGGTACTTGTGGTAGACGTCTTGGGGAATTGCGCTCACGGGAGACCCTGTGTCCACGAGCATCTTGAGGGGCACGCCAGCCCAAACAAACTTTCGTATTACTGGTTCTACTGAACCAACCAAGTTGTCAGACCTAGCGTGAGAACATTGGAGCGTAAACAAGCTTCCTTCCTCGCCTGATAAGCTGTCGCTGTATTCGACGGCGTTCATTCCAGGTTCGTGGTTGGCTTTGAATCCACGGCCCCCTTTCCTGGGAGTAGTAAGGTCTCGGCAGCACCTGGCAATGTGCCCAACCCGACCACAGTGATGACACGAGGCTCTCTTAAATTTGCACGATTCCGCGTCGTGCGTGGAGCTTCCGCAGCGTGAGCAGGCTAGCGTCGTACGCCTCCGGGAGCTCTGAGGAAGTGGCGATCGGCGATGTGGGCCTTGTGTAACCGCGTTGATATCGGACTCCGGCGTCGGCTTCATGGCTGCGATGTTTACGGTAGCGGATTCCGCGGCGAGCACTATGTCCTCGGCCACTTGTAGCGTTAAGTCTCTTTTCGTGAGCAGCAACTTCCTTACATCTTCGTTGGTGATTCCGCAGACGATGCGATCACGGAGAAGGCGTTCGCGAATGTCCCCGAAGTTGCAGGTCTCGGCTAGACGGCGAATCGCGACGAAGTATTCCGGGACGGTCTCGTCTGGCTTCTGATCTCTTTTAAAAAACTTGAAGCTCTCAGCGATTTCGTTCAGTTTCGGTGCGTAGTACGTTCCTAAGCGCTCCACGACTTCGGTATATGTAAGCGAATTGACCGCTGTCGACGAACTGGACGCTTGCAAGACTTCAATTGTCTTCGAACTTAAGGCGGACACGAGCAACGCTCGTTTCTGCACCGCGTCGGTCACTGCATTCCCCTCGAAGAACGCTTCCAAGCGTGTCAAATAGGTGGTCCACTTATCTGATCCCTCGTTGAACTGGGGAACAGAGAAGGCCATGGTGTGCTTGGTCGAGGTGGGTTGACCGGTTTCAGACATTGGGTTCAGCCTCGTCGCCAATGAAGTAAATTCGGAAGACAAAATGAAGGAGTCATGTCCGCCTAGCTGGTTGGCACAAGACTGAGCGTTTATTCGTCGTCGTCGTCGTTGTGCCTTATTTTTCGGCGCGGCCGATCTTGATAGATCGGCGGTTTAGAGTAAAAGAAGAAAACAAAAACAACTTCGGTCAGCCGCGTGAACCGCAGCGCGTGCAGCGTCATTCGCTCCCCAACAGACACAAGAAAGAAATCTGTGAGATGTTGAACAAAAAGTTTGGATGCTTTGCAAGGAGCACCAAAAAACTGGGGTGCATGACAGTTGCGGCCATGACTATACAGGAGAAACCAGGGAGTTCAGCCATGGATGGCCCAATCCTTACCGCGCATCATAGACAGAGCGGCAACTCACTTGGCAAATCACCGACGAGCTTAAGGCCAATGAACTCGTAAGGTACAGAAAGTCGGAGTACAGCCAGTTCAGTGATCCTAGTTGAAAAAAGAAACAGGAAAAAAATCATATCCAAAAAGAAAACAAGAAGAAAAGCAAGAAACAGCCAAAGTGTTTCCAAGACGTGACAAACTCTAAGTGACTGAGGACAGCCAGCAACTCAAATTTGGCCGATTGTTGTCGTGTGGCGTATAGTGTGCGCCTACAATCACCGTTATGGTGTTTTTACAAGAGCATCTGAAGCCAGCACCAGACCGAACAAACATGTCTGTCTCGTGATGTAAAACGGGTCCCATGACATACTATGTATTCTCCTTTCTTCAATTATTTTATATTTTACTGTACATTTTTTCTCAACTTTTACAGTATCGACAGTCGCATTCCTACTGATTTGATTCAACTGATCCTCAGTAATGCGCTTGACATGCTCGATCACACCGTTCTGATTAGAAAAGCCGCTTGGGTTGGTGTCCGAGGCTCACTACTACTTTGGTTGACTCGCTTCATGGTGGGTTATACCCGACGCGTGCTACCATCGGTCAATGTCCCAGAGCTATCCAGCTCTTTCTGGAGTTTCACAAGGCTTCATACTTGGCCCAACTTTTTCCTTGTTCTATGTTAACGACATGCCGCAAAACAGTAACACCCTACTTTACAGTATGCAGACGAAAGGTCCATTGTCCCCCGCATCACTTCTCCCGCTGGTCCATCTGCCTTCAAGGCTACATCACTTGCTTTTCAGAGTGGGCGCATGCAAAGTGCCTGGCCATGAGTGAGGGTAAGAGCAGAGTGATACGCTTCCACAACGCCAAGACTACCAGTATTCCCCTATACACTATCTCAGGATCCCCCTTATGGAAGGTACAAAGCCCATCAATTCTTGGGGCAACGCTTGTAATATTTGTACCCCAGCACTGGACTTATCTCTCCACATTTCAAGCATAGTCGCTAAAGCTCTGTGCACTTTGGGCTTTGTGACATGGTTGTCGAAATTCTGTGGTTTTTCAAGACTTGCTTTGCGCTGCATTTGTTCTACCAAAGTTGGAGCACTCCGCGTATGTGTGGCACCCATACCGAATCTAGTTGACTCACCAGATGGAGGATGTGCAACACCATGCCATGTGGACACTGCTCACTTGTTCCGACCGCTGACATGCTACGCTTCTATCATACGAGACGTGGTTGCAGCATTGGAACTGGCGGACGGAAAAGCACCGTTACACTGCGACTCCTGTTGCCCTTCAATTGCTGCACCTTGGACCGGTCGCTCAAAAGCTCCTACATCTCAGTGGTTTGACGCAGTAGAAGAAACAGGACAACCCGTGTTTTTATACTCCAGAACAGTACAGCATCAAAACGCGGTGTTGCCAGCTGCAGTTCGGGATTTTCTCGGGGTCCCACTCGGCGTTTAAATGTCCTTTCCTGGAATTTATAAATAATTGCGAATTTTGTGTCGAGAAGTTTCTCGGCACTTGGCTTAGCTTCGTCACCTAGTTATATTTTGTGTTGTTTGTTTTCCTTAACATCCTTCTTCACAATCTTAGGCGATTGGCTGACAGGCACACTGCGTATGGGTTTTTGCCGTTCTGTCAAGCCTCCCACGTCGCCCCGGACCGCATGTAGAGCAAATAAAGATTACTATTTCTATGCATAGGTCACTACAAAGGTTTGGAACTGTTGCACACAGACAAGGCAAAACAAAAATTAAGCGTCGTGCAATTGAAGCCTCATTTGTTCCTACCTTAAAATATTGAACAACTGCCCCCTAAAAATTTGAAGATAATCGCGAAAAAATAGGGGATGGGCACACCTGAGGTCATCAATTTTGCATATTTATGTACTGAATATATTTCTTCAGATGTTTCAAATTTTGGGGGTGGGCACTTAGCTCGCAATGGGCAGATGCAC